TAAATGGTGTTCCAGTAGCAAAAAAGTGACAGTTGGTATATGGATATGGAGTGAGGTGTTTATAATCAATGGAGAGGATGGAAAAGAAGTGAGTTAACATTGATATCGACACATTAAAATTAAAATGTCTACATGAACTTGACATTAAAATTTAAATATTTGTTGTGTTTAATCTAAGATCCAAATATGAGACCAGATTTTGCCAGATATAAATTCCAGTTGGGGACCAGTTGGAAACTGGTACAACTGGAATTTCAACTGGTACAGCTGGTCTTTCCAAATCGTTTAACTGATCTATCCAACTGGTTGAATTAGTCCAACTGGTTTTATCAACTGGTTGAACTGGTCCAACTGGTCTATTCAAGAAGTCCAGTTAGTCCAACTGGACTATTCAATAGGTGCAGTTGGTCCAACTGGTCTATCCAATAGGTTCCGTTTGTCCAACTGGTTTACCCAATAGGTCCAGTTGCTTTAACTTGTCTACGCAGAAGTCCAGTTGGCTCAACTGGTCTCACCATAGGTTCAGTTGGTTCAACTGGTCTACCCCAATAGATCCAGTTGGTCCAACTGGGCTCACTCAATATGTCCAGTTGGTCTAACTGACTTACTCAATTTAGTTAAACAGTTGCAACTAATCTATCAAACTTGTTAAACTGCTAATTAGTCTACTTAATGCATTTATTTAATCGTTCTTATTTTTAGAATTGTCTAGAAAATACATTTGTTTTATCTTAGAGGAACTGTGACTTTTCTTCTTGACGGGGGGGGGGGGGGGGGAAGGGGGGGGCCCCCGCCCCCCCGCCCCGACGGAAGATTGTAGTTCCCCTCAACATAATCCCACTCCCCCTTCACCTATCCATCTAAACAACAATGTTGTTGTGGTTGATAGCAAAATAATGTTATATAAATATCAGACAGTTGACACTTGACACTTGAATTTTTTTTTAACTTACTTCGGCCTACGAACATCATGATGATGTTTTTCAGTTTAAACATATTTCTTGGAAGTATTTTATCAGTATCCACTATCAAGGTAAGATGTTTGTTTTATTATTCAGTTAATGTGGTTTACTACTAGGGTATAGCATTAACAGGCAAGTAGTGAGTTATGGTAGTAAGTAGACTTGGAGAGGCCTACTTACTGTATGTACATGTTCGCTCTCATTCTCTATGACTGCAATTTATCCTCAGTGAGGATTTAGAGGCTAGCCTAGATATTATGATATGGCCTTAAGTCCTGTTCTTGGCCTAGCTGAACTGTAGCCTTACTCCATATTTAAGCTATAATAATAATAATAATAATGGTAATTAGGCCTCTCACTTAGGGCTCTCACTAAGTGCATGCTTTATTAAAATAAAATAGGTTTTTAGTGGTAAACTGAGGTAAGGTAGGGTGGGGTGGGGGTAAAGAAATTATTATTTGCCGAAGGTTAATGTATGTAATCAGTAATTAATTAATTAATATGGTGTTTTTATTTCAGGATATCGGTACTCAGTCTGGTCTCAATTACTAAATGAAAAATCAATCAAGTGTGGTGATGTAGAGAAGTATTTTGTTTGTTTGAATTCTTACTGTGTCTTTTAAAGTGAATATAATGTTTTGATTATGTTTTACGTTTACTGGCATAGGCTTTGATTAGCAACATGCTCCAAAGGGATACTGTAGTAACTAAGATGCAGGTTATTAAATACAGGTCTCCCTCCAATTAAAAACCACTTTTGGGACTGGGGTTTTCATGGTCTTTATCAGCTTGGTCCCTAATTATAATAATAAAATTAAAAGAGATAATTTAGGACACATAAAAATGGTCTTAATTTAAGTGGTCTTTCTAGATTGAGACCTGTAATAAAATGTTATGTGTATGTAATTAAGCCAAATAAAACAAGAGAGTCAACTACACTCATTGACAGATAAAAAACAAACGATATTATGCCCTAGGTACGCAGCCAGTGAAGGACACCCGCTGTCATTTGTATGTTCACTCGCGTCCTGCACCATGCACGGTCTGTTCGTCCCCGTTTTTCTACTTGGATTTATTCGGTGTAAACACCAAGGATAGCCCACGAAAGTCTAGAAGTGGGTCCTTCTGATGGTGATTAAGCAGTAAACCGGGAATCAACCTTCTACTCTTTTCCAAAGTTCTTTAACGTGCACATTGGCCATAATGCACATTGATCAATGGCTTAAACGTCTCATCCGAAAGACGGTGAGCTGTTGTAACTTGTATTTCAGCCCTCTAGCTGAAACACAAGGAGAGGCAGCGATGGTTATTGAACCGGGAACCTAGAGATCTTTACGGTTCAGCGCACACGCAGTGGTTGCCACCAGATCAGCTGACTGAGCTAAGCTGCTCTTTCGAAGTAACCAAGTAAATAGTGGGCTTACGTCAGTACACAAATTAATGCGGACGTTCTACGCAGGTATGACAATTTTACAAACGGGAGTACGCTCTTTTGTTCTATTTATACTCTTTCATTAGGCCTTTAAGAGATATTGAAATTGTAATGTAGGCCCAAGTTGTTTTGATACATTAAAAAAAAAAAAAACAGAATTGGAAACGGATAATTATTAAACAAAAAAATTAAGCTGCTAGTCTATAATTATTTTAGCTACATTATGCATCATACTTATTTTAAATACATAAATTTCGAAGGGAAATAACACATCTAAAATTTGAGTGTTTATTAAGTTACATTTGATATTACTGTATCTTAATTCGTTTCTCTGGCCATAAATCACCTTAAATAAGATGATTTTGAAAATAAACAATTGAGCATAGGTATAATTGACAAAAGGCCATTTTCCCCTGAGACTTAATTTCTAATAATTGAACTGTATAGTCTGATTTTTCATTCATTTTTATTTTTTCAAAAAAAGGTTTCCATAATTTGCACTCTATATACAGTAAGTCGACCATTATTATCCTTATTAAAGATTTCGACTTGTTATATAATTCAGCAAGGGTGAAATATATTTCAAACTTGATTTGTTCAACTGCAGAATTTATACTATCTCATCTTTAGCAAGATTCTTAATTGAGCTTCCACCTATCGGACAAGAAAAGACAAGATTATGGACAGTTGCTACGTCAATATACAAAGAATGCTGGTTGAAGCACGCCTGTAACACGAAAGGTTTTTGATTATTGTTATATATGATAAACTCTAGTGATGGACAAAAATGTTGATTTAAACAGGACTGTTGTTATATATGCATAGTCCCAGATTACTGCGCTTACGGCGATCCATATAACTTGGTGTCGTTCTTGAATAAATGGAGGTTGATAGTTTACACGCCGTGTTCTGAACTTACATATTATTTTTACATTTGCATGTGTTATCAAGACATAACACATTGGCGACGAGGATGAGCATGGCCTTTACAATTGGAAAAGTAGAAGAATTTGACCATACAGTCGAAGCTTGGGATTATTATGCAGAAAGAATCGAGCATTATTTCCTAGCCAACCACGTAGACGATGAAAGGAAAGTACCTTTACTGCTTGCACTCATCGGGTCTAAGACGTACACGCTACTGAATAATCTGTGCGCGCCGGCGAAGCCTGCCTCACTGAGCTACAATGAGCTTATTACGAAGTTCACAACACACTTGTGCCCAAAACCTTCGGAAATTGCTGAACGATTTCGTTTTTACAAACAAGGACAGCATGTGGGGGAAAGTGTTGCAGTATACATTGCTAAACTACGTAGATTAGCAATACATTGTAATTTTGGCACTACACTTACTACAACGCTTAAAGACATTTTCGTCGTTCGTGGGTTACAGCAAGAGAACATACTAAAACGTTTGTTGGCTGTTCATGATCTTACATTAGATGATGCGATTAAAATTGCAGTTGCTATGGAAACAGCAGGCCGTGATGCTACCGAGCGGCAGCAAACGCGAGCAATGAAGAGTGAATAAACTTTTTACCAAAACAAATAAACCAAAGAAATTTCAAGGACAAAAACACACTCAGTCCGCCTATTGTTGAAGATGCGGTAGTACCCCGCATAAAGCGGACCACTGTAACCATGCTAAGACAGTATGTAATTACTGTGCAAAGGAAGGACATCTTGATATTATTGTAGTCCGATTATAGTGGATACTACCGAAACTAGAAAGCTTATTCCCATGGAGCTGAATACAGGCTCATCAATTTCTTTCATACCAGAAACGACCTACAAGAAAGTATTTAACTCTATGCCACCATTACAACAAACCACGATTCGTGTGAAAACGTATTCTGGTGAGAAGATCATACCCCTCGGCATGCTCACGGTACCGGTGTGTGTTAACAACCATAAAGGAAATGCCGAATTGCTGGTTGTGCCACAAGATGGCCCTGAATTGTTTGGCCAAGATTGGCTAAAGAACATCCCGTTAAACTGGCAAGAAATAAAGGTCATACAAGAGACAAAGACCAGTGGTCTGAATGAAATTCTGGACAAACACAAGTCCATTTTTAAGGATGAATTAGACAAACTGGAAAAGCTAAAGGCTAGTGTTTACATCACCGAAAATTGTCAGCCAAAATTTCCCAAGCCAAGGAATGTCCCATATGCAATGAGAGACAAGGTGGAGAAAAAGCTGGACCGACTACAAAAGGAGGGAACTATAAGCCCTGTAAAACACAGTGATTGGACATCACCAATTGTACCAGCACAGAAAAAATCTGGTCAAGTGCGAATTTTTGGTGATTATAAGGTCACAATTAATCCCGTTATGAAAGTGGAATAGTACCCCCTTACCAAGAATTGAGGAAATTTTTGCATCTCTGTCAGGTGGTCAGAAATTTACAAAGATCTACCTCAAACAGGCATATCAACAGATGGAAGTAGACGATGCGTCCAAGGAACTTCTAACTATTAACACTCATAAAGGGTTATTTAGGTATAACCGCCTACCATTTGGGGTGGCATCGGCCTCCGCCATTTGGCAAAGAGCAATGGACTAGGTACTACAGAACATTCCGTTCACATCATGCATTCTCGATGATATGATCATCAGCGGTAGGTCAACCGAGGAACACTTAAACAACTTGGACACAGTCCTAGAGAGATTGAACACATACAACATGCGAGTGAATTGTGAGAAATGCGAATTCTTCAAAGATAGCGTTACCTATTGGGGACACGACATACAATCAGAGAGTTTGCAGAAACCACTAGACAAGATTAGTGCTGTTGTTAACGCCCCCAAGCCAGAACATACGCAGCAACTTCGTTCATTTCTGGGTCTCATTAACTATTATCGACGGTTTCTTCCGAATTTATCTTCAGTTGTTGCACCCATGAATGAACTACTACAAGGAGAGAAAGTCTGGAAATGGACAAAAGCATGTGATGAAGCTTTCAGTACAGTGAAAGAACAGTGTAATTTCAGACCAAGTTTTGTGCCACTACAACCCTGAACTGCCAGTGAAGCTTGCTTGTGGTGCGTCCCCATACGGATTAGGAAGTGTACTTTCCCATGTCATGCTTGACGGTACGGAACGACCGATAGCATTCGCTTCACGATCCTTAACGAAAGCTGAGAAAGGATGCGCTCAGACTGACAAGGAAGCATTTGGTCTGTATTGGAGAATGCAGAAAGTTCACAGTTACCTTCACGGTCGTCGTTTCACTTTGATCACCGACCACAAACCTCTGGTCAGCATATTTCACCCCCATAAATCTATACCTTCCATGACTGCTGCTAGACTACAGAGCTATGCACTTTACCTTTTGGGTCATACTTACGACATTAAATATCGCAATACACACGCCCATGGAAACGCTGACTGTATTAGTAGATAACCTATGCCTACAGCTACAGTTTATTACATTGACGAAGCGTCAATATTCTATACATCTTAGATTGAGCGATTACCCATATCGAGCACACAGATACGGAAGGAGACACAACGTGACCCAGTATTGTCATATGTGTTGGACAAAGTCTTGAAAGGAACTAACAAGCTTCCAAACGACGATATTTTCAAGCCTTTTCATAGCCGTCTTACTGAGCTCACTTGTCACCAAGGCTGCATCATGTGGGGAAATCGCGTACTCATTCCAGAAACACTTCGTACCGCCATACTCGACGAGTTACACAATGGACACATTAGTATCGTGAAGATGAAGAGTTTAGCGCGCTCCTACGTATGGTGGCCAAACATTGACTGCGAAATCGAACACGTTTGTGAGGCATGCATTAGTTGTCAGCAAACCAGTAAAATGCCAAAAGCTGCTCCAGTACATCCTTGTGAGTAGACATCTATCCAATGTAGATTTCGCTGGACCATTCATGAACTGTATGTTCTTGATCGTCGTCGACGCCCCCTTTAAAAAGTCTTTCCGATGAAGTCAACGACAGTATTGCGGAAGATTAAAAACCTACGTATTCTTTTCAGTCAATGCGGAATTCCACGACAATTAGTCACCGACAATGGATCGCAGTTTACCTCTGAGGAATTCCAGATTTTTATGAAGCAAAACGGAATACGTCACATTACATCAGCACCCTATCATCCGCGCACCAATAGATTGGCAGAAAGATTTGTGCAAGCATTTAAAACAGCCATGAAACAGGCGAAAGGAGATAATCAAAACCGTTCTCTACAGGACCAACTAAGCACCTTTCTGTTTAAATACAGAAAGACACTTCATACACTTACCAAGGAAACACCTGCAAAGTTACTCTCTGGACGTAATTTAAGAACGAGGTTAGACATACTAAAACCTGACTTAACAGCCAAAGTATTGGAAGGTCAGGATCTCATGAAGTTCTCGAAGCACTGCGGCGCTAACATTAGAGAATTCGAGCCTGGACAACAAGTGACGGTACGTGATTACCGCAGCACAAACACAAAGTGGATACCAGCTCAGATTCAAGAAAAGACTCCGATTTCTTATACTGTCAACACAGGAATGGGGAAATTGTGGCGACGTCATACTGACCAGCTACATTCTACTGCAGTTAAAGTTACCCCGACTGTAACTTTGAGCCGGATAACACACATCCATTAGCTGATGCTCAAAAACCAGTTAATCTTATTTCGACAGACATCAAGGAAACATACATGCCTGCCACAACTACACCTAACTACAAAACCACCATCTGCCCTGAAAGCAGAACATGTACGACGTTACCAAAGGGAAAAAGTTCGCCCACCAGACAGACTGAACTTGTAAGTAATAAATGACTGTGCACGAGAAGTTATTTTAGTTGAACTGATGTTCATTTTATTCAGAGTTAACTGTACAACCGAACTTTATTTCATATAAATGATAACTACAGATTACTGTACAATACTAATGATTGAACTTTAATTGTAAGTACACCAGTTTGGTAACTGAAAATCTGGTCAGTTGATAACCAGTATGTAATGCAACTTACCTTAAAGACAAGTATTGTTACAAATGTTTATTTCTTTAAATGGAGGGGAGGATATGTTATATATGCAAAGTCCCAGATTACTGCGCTTACGGCGCTCCATACTACTTGTGGTCGTTCTTGAATAAATGGAGTTTGATAGTTTACACGCCGTGTTCTGAACCTACATATTTTTACATTTGCATTTGTTATCAAGACATAACAACTGTAAAGTGAAAGAATCTAGAATAAGCTTGATTTTGAGATACAGTATGTGTAGCAGCAAGACTTTAGCCAAACGATGTGTGAATGGGTATACAAGTGAATGAGACTCTAGGGGAGTAATATCCCTACCACATGATGTTTGTTGATGTTTTTTATTTAAAGCATTTATGGTTTGTATATCTTAAACTCAGTGTATTTTTTTTAAGTCTACAGGAGTTCAAAGCCATTGTTAAAGCCATTGTTATTTTACAAAATGGAGGCGGGACAAATTGAAGACCAGTTGGAACTTGAAGAACAGTTAAACACAACACCCAACTGGTTCCAGCTCTAACTGGATTTTAAAACCAGTTGGAGTTGGGACCAGTTAGGGGGGGGGGGAAGTACTTGGATAAATGGGAATATGAATCATGCAGATCTAGAATCAAACCTAGGGGATATGGGTCAATAATTTTTCCCGAAAACGAAAGGGGATCCGGGGTCCTCCCCCTGGAAAATTTTGATTTCTAGATGGCGGGAAATGACCTTTCTCGACTTTTGAGCTAGGTGTCTAATGACTTTGTTCTTCAAAATTCAAGGTCCCCCCCCCACTCTTGAACACGGTCAGATAAACTTTCTCATTCATACATCTCATACATACATAAAAAAAAATAGTAGTTGCATACGTATTCTTTTTTTAAATTAATCGATAAGCTCCAAAGAAAAAAAAGGGGGGGTCCGATGGTTCTCCCCGAGAAAATTTTGATTCCTAGATGGCGGGAAATGAGCTTTTCCGACTTCTGAGGTATCTTAATTACTTTCAAGTTCTTCAAAATTCAAGGTTTTCCCCTCTTAAAAAGGGTCAGGTAATTTTTTCCCATAGTTATTACAGGAAATAGACCTTATGTGTGTATACATACACAAAAAATGAGTAGTTGCATACGTATTATTTTTTTCAATGACTCGATAAGCTCCAAAGAAAAAAAAAAGGGGGGGTCCAGTTCTCCCCTGGGAAAATTATGATTCCTAGAAGGCGGGAAATGAGTTTTTCCGACTTTTGAGGTGTCTTTTATTTAGTTTTAAGTTCTTCAAAACTCAAGGTATTCCCCTCTGGAAAATTATTATGATGAATCAATGAATCCAAAGAGAAAAGGGAAGGTTCAGGTTCTCCCAAGGGAAATGTTGATTTCTAAGTGGTGGGAAATGAGCTTTCCCGATTTCTGAAGTATCTTTTAGCGACTTTAATTTAAGGTCTTAAAAATTAAATGTTTTCCCCTCTTAAAAACGGTCAGGTAAATGTTTCTTATTGTTTAATAACAGCAGACAGGCCTTATGTGTGTATACATACTTAAAAAAATTGAGTAGTTGCATACGATTTTTTTTCCATGAATCCATAAATCCCAAAAAGAAAGGGGGTCCGGGGGTCCTCCCCCGATAAAAGTTTGATTCAATGAATCAATGAACTTCAAAGAAAATGGTGTCCTGGTTTCCCCGGGAAAATTTTGATTTCTAGAAGGCGGGAAATAAACTTTCCTCACTTCGGAAATGTCTATTAAATGACTTTTTAAGTTCTTTAAAATTCAAGGTTTTCCTCTATTGAAGACGGTCAGGTAAATTTTTCTCATTTTTATTTTATGTGTATATACATACATAAATAAATGAGTAGTTGCATGCGTATTCTTTTTTCCATGAATCAATAAATCCCAAATAGAAAGGATGGTCCGGTTTTCCCCCCTGGGAAATTTTGATTCCTAGATGGCGGGAAATGAGCTTTCCCGACATTTGAAGTGTGTTTTAATTACTTTTATGTTCTTCAAAATTCTAATTATCTTATTGTAACATAAAAAAAGAAAAAGAAAAGAAAACAGCTTACGGGTCCTGAAAAGGTAGGCTTAGAATTCTTTTTTTTCTTTCTTTTTGTTGCCCAAGGGAGGGGTCAGGACTATGACCCCCTCCCCCAGGTCCACCAATGTGAATTGCGAGAAAATGTAACTCGGTCGGGGACTGGATGAACATGCTCTTTTCCATCCTTCTCCTCCTTCCTTCTTTCTTTCTTTTCTTGCATTTCTTTCCGATCATACAAAAATCTCCAGACATAATATATTTTTTTGCCAGAAAGTGGGGGGGGGGGCGCTCGGGGGCCCTCCCCCCCCCCCCCCCCCCGGTTCCGCCGGCCATGATTTATACATGAGTTGCCAATACAATTTTTCTTTTCGAATATTTACGATAATAGAGAACAATATATCGAATTGTTCATCTTCATATTTTCAGTTTGAATAAAAATCAAAATAAAATCAACCTTATTCTCATGAATCTACACAATTCAAACTTTTTTGCATACACTATTGTGAGATGTTCCCACCCGACCATCCTTGCTAGTTTCATTACATTTCAGACCATTTAATCGGAGTATGAATGCGCAGGCATAGGGCTTAAGTAGTACTGATCTAGTAGGCCTACTGAAGAGGGCTCTGTTTCTTGAAGCCTTGAAAATTTCTAAATCTAGTGTCGATGTAAGTCACTTTGGCCAGGCCTACACGTAGGCCTACTCCGAATTCTATCATCGGCACCCACACCATTCCGCTCGATCGTACTCATTATCAGACCATATGTGACCAAAGTGACCTCATTATAAACATGTAGTGTTATGAAATGAGTATAATAAATGAGTCAGTTGGCTCTTTGGATTGAGAATTTAGTGTGTCTTATGATTATTATCTTTATTCATCTCTTAAATAGGTCCGTTGATCAAAGCTAACGGAATACCCATACATAAAAATTCTATAGAACTTTATAGACCTTCTATAGAGACTAATCAATTTCAACAGAAATTAGTATTTTCTATAAAATTGTTTT